CTATTATTTCTTCATATTTTGTTTCCAAGCCAGACTTTTAAAGTAGGGGAATGTTTTGGGTGTTGTGGAGCAAACAATAGTTCTTTCTGAAAAGCTTTCTGAAGGTCTTTTAATTTTTTTTTATTTGGCTGCTTGTTCACTCATTGTCAGTCCAGTTCTTGTACCTAATCATGTTCACATAAATGATTTTTGTTTGTTTGCTTTTTGTTAAGCTCTTTAACTCCGACTTACTCCTGAAAGCTCCTGTTTGAATAATGTTTAATGAACCCTACACTGGAGCTGTTCGCCAAAATTACTAGTGAATTTTAAAGTTGAAATTATTTCTGAGCACTTGTGAGCCCATATGGGTATCAACAGAGAGGTACAAGCTCTACCAACACATAACGGATTCCAATATCTTTGCTGTATAACCCTAATTTCTTGGGTGACTTTGGTCCTGCAGAAGCAGTGCATATCTGACAAGCACAAGCAGAATAACTGCTGAGAAGCACAAAAACACAACAAGACCCAACAACAAAAGGAAAAGATAAACAACCTCATGCTCCCATTATTTGTGGAGCTCATACTTCATACATCACTCAGACTACAGTATGTGCTGTCCACAAAATCAAATCAATCTTTTAGGTCACTGAGCAGGACAAGTTACACACTGAGCACTGCGCTTCCACTCCAAGGCTTTGCAGCAAACATAATGAGCCCTCATATTTGCTCCACAACACCCAAAACATTCCCTTACCAATATAATATAACTATATATATAATAGTATAATATTATATATATATATATGGGAAATAATAAATATGGGAAATAAGGGAATATACTCAGGTGTGTTCTTCATTTTCTAATTTCCTAGCAGTCATAACCGACTGCCACTGTGTATGAATCTGAGCACTCTTCTGATAGTGAACAAAAAAGCTGATGTAAGTGGTCACACACTGCAGCAAAAATAATAAAGTGCAGCTGAAACACATTGTCAGCGCAACATTTATGTTTTACCTTTTCAGTCAGTTTCAGTTTCGAATGCATTGAGAAACAGTGACAACATATTTACAATTAAACCAATACAGGTCGGAAGCAAGTTGGTGATATCTCGACTTTTTCCTTCCTCATGTAGCACAGGATTATGCTGGAAGCCAGGAAATGACACAATTCATTCCGTCATTAGTGGATCGACTCACAATATAAATTAAAATAAATAATAAATAATAATAATAATAATAATAATAATAATAATAATAATAATAATAATAATAATAATAATAATAATAACAACAACAACAACATATATATATCAGACACAAACATCCTCCACTGCAACCACTACGCATCCAAGGTATGGACATTGATGCTGTGGATAGCTACAGGTATCTTGGTGTTCATCTGAACAATAAAGTTGATTGGACTCACAATTCAGATGCCCTCTACAGGAAAGGGCGGAGTAGGCTGTACCTGCTGCGGAGGTTCAGGTCACTTAGAGTGAAGGGCCCACTCCTGAAGACCTACTATAACGCTGTGGTGGCCTCGGCCATTTTTTACGGTGTGGTCTGCTGGGGTGGCAGCATCTTTGCTGGAGACAGGAGAAGACTGAACAGGCTGATCTGCAGCGCCAGCTCTGTTCTAGGATGCCCTCTGGACCCAGTGGAGGTGGTGAGTGACAGGAGAATGGTGGCTGTCATCCCTGTTGGAAAAGATCTCCCACCCCATGCAGGAGACTCTGACAGCACTGAGCAGCTCCTTCAGTGGCAGGCTGCGGATCTGGGACAGAGAGATTTTGCATGTCTTTCCTCCCTGCTGCTGTCAGACTCTACAACATGGTCTCTACAGATGACCACACACGTGCAGACAGACACACATACACATCCAATACACAATAGTAACTTTTGCCCTGTCCTTCTGATGTGCAATAGTTCCAAGTGCAATTTTCCCAATTTAACAAAGTATTTTATTCAATTTGTATAGTACTGATTCTATTACATATAGTATTTTATTCTATTTTGTATAGTATATTATTCTATTTTATCTTATTCTACTGTTTTTTTTTTCTATTCTATTTTTTACTGCTCTTAACTTGTACTTTTTGCTGTGACCAAAACATTTCCCACACGTGGAACTAATAAAGGTTTATCTTATCTTATAACCCTATGGCAGTGCATATGGGAAATGACAACTCTGGAGTGAATAATGGCCCAATTTTATTGGCCAGGCATCTGCGCCGATATGCGCCGGTGGCGAGTGTCCTGCCCGGAGTGTCAGCTGGTTAACCAGCCATTCCAAAAGTGCCTTTATGCCTTTTACCATTAATGGATGTCCGGTTTTAGTGCATTGGCATGGACCTCATTGTGCCATTTCACCGGCGAGCACGTGGATATCACTTTGTATTAGTTCTGATGGATTATGGCTGTTTCAGGTCATCTCGTGAGTCGGCATCCCAAAAGAGATAATGCCTGACCAGAGGACATCGTTCATGCCGTGCACACTTAAACAGCTGTACGAATTATTGGGCATTAGATTTGTCGTACCAGCATCTGCCACCCTCAGACTGACTGGCTGGTGGAGGAGCTGAATCAGACATAATGTGTAAGTTCATTCACAAGGATGAACGCAATTGGGATCACTGGTTACACCCTCTGTTGTTTGCTGCGCGAGGTGCCCCAGCCCATCACATGATTTTCTCCCTTTAAATCCCTTAGTCCCACACTTCGGAGATTTTGTAGTCCTCTGCATTTAACCCATCCACTTAGTGAAGCAGTGGGCAGCTACCAATCCAGCACCTGGGGGGAAAAAATTGGGCTCATCCGGGATTTGAACCCAGGACCTCTCACACCCAAGGCGACAATCATACCCCTAGACCAGCGAGCCAAGCTGCCATCTGGTTGACTTGTTGTTCAGCAGGAAGCCACAGTGGGTGTTGGACTCGAAAACTAGGCAGAAATTCTAAGCCCAGCTAAAACAAGAGAATCAATATGTTCTGGACCTGAAAGCAAAGCTGCACACTTTGGGGAGGTTGTAAAGAGAAAAGACGGGTATGGCAACATAAGCATTTGTTCAATACGTGTCTTTGTGTCTCTGGTCCATGTCTGTGAAGGTTCAGAATCAGAAAGACTTTATAGATAAGATAAGATAAGATAACCTTTATTAGTCCCACACGTGGGAAATTTGTTTTGTCACAGCAGGAGTGGACAGTGCAAAAGTTATGAGGCAAAAAATTAGAATACAATAAGAATAAATACAGTACACAACTGTACAGAATAGAATAAAATACTATGTACAGTAGAATAAAATAAAATAAATATACAATAAGATAAAAATAGAAATACAAATGCTATATACAACTGAGTAAAAATACAACGATGACAGAAAGGATTATTGCACTTAGTATTATTGCATATGTATGGATGTGTGTGCTTGATCAGTTAAAGTCTTTATTATGGAGTCTGACAGCAGTGGGGAGGAAAGACCTGCGAAATCTCTCCGTCCCACACCGTGGGTGCCGCAGTCTCCCACTGAAGGAGCTGCTCAGTGCTGTCACAGTCTGCTGCATGATTATTTATCCTCAAGTGGCAATTAACATACAACAGAGCAGCAGGACAGGGCATAAACAGGCAATAAGAATGAGATAATAAATACACAGAATATACAGTATATACACAGTTTTAAAATTACACAGTTTTAAAATTAAAGTGACTCAAAGGTGAATAAATAACTGTAAGTGAGTAAAAGTGAGTCGGCAAAAGTGTCGGCAGTATAAAAAGAGTGTAGAGTAGTTTATGTTTATGGGTGTGGGAAATGTTCTTATCGGCTGGAGTTAAAAAGCAGAGTGGCTTTGGGGACAAAGGTGGCTCTCCTCCTCTCAGTCCTGCAGGAAATGCAGCAGAGGCGTAGCCCAGAGGGGAGCCATTGAAATGCGGGGTGAAAAATGTGAGAGGGGTCACTGATGATTTTGGCTGCCTGTCTAAGGCCCTGTTGGCTGAAAACCTGTGCCATAGTTCTGACAGGCAGTCCAATGATTTTAGAGCGCACTGATGCAGTGTGCTGCAGTCTGTTCCTGTTCTGAAGGCTGAGGGAGTGGAACCAGCAGGTGAGAGAGAAGGTCATGATGCTTTCCAGGAAGGCATAGTAAAAAGTCATCATGATGGGTGTGCTGACTCCAAAGGAGTTGAGTTTCCTAAGGAGGTATAGTCGTTGGTGGCACCTCCTGAGAATCTTCTCTGTGTTGGCAGAGAATTTCAGGAGGTTGTCAAAGATGGTTCCCAGGTATTTGTACTCCTCAACTACCTCCACTGGCTTCCCATGGATGGTGGTGGTGACTGAAGCAGCCAGATCCCTCTGCCTATACCGGAGAAGTTCACCACCATCTCTTTGGTTTTGCTCACATTCAGTTCAAGTTTGGAGCTGTCACCACTCTACAAACTCCTGCAGAGCGGGCCCGTGGTGTTGTGAGGGGCCTGACAGCAGTGACAGGAGTCGTCAGCATATTTCATCAGCATATTTCTCAGTCATCCAGGTCATTGTGGTTTAAGGAGCTTGGAAAGAAAAAAGCGTATGGACTTAAGTCTTTAAGACTTAAGACTTTAAGTTGCTTGAAGACGTCTCACCTCTCATCCAAGAAGCTTCTTCAGTTCTAGCGTCACATGGTGGAGAGTCCCAGATTTAAGACCTGTGGGAGTATCCCCCCAAGAGGGACATGGACCCCCTATTGATCCCCTACCTCTACCTAATCACACGAGCCAAAATGTGAATAGATGATCTATAATCCAGATCATTATAGATCTGGATAAATAGATCTATAAACCTATATATTCTATATAACCTATGTAGCATAATATGTGTGCGTTATATATTATATATTAATATATAACGCATATTATATATTGATATGCGTTATATATTAATATATAATATATAACGCATATCAATATATAATATGCGTTATATATTGATTTCATAAATCAATTATAGTTCATAAACTGCTACGTCAGCAGCATTTTAAAGTCACCGATGGCCCAGATTTGAACTGCTTTTCCAGAGTATCAAGAGTCAAAAGAGAAACTAAGAGTGTTCTCATGTGTGTACTTTGTTCTACCAAATCTAATCAGTTGAGTTTATAAAGTCAGTGAACTTTTCTGTTGTTTCAGCATTTCACCTAGAATGTGGCGATAAGTAGCTAATTTGTCTGATATGAAATATTATCTTATGAAACGGGTAAGGTTGTTGTCAATTTGTGTAAATCTAAAGGGTCTAACTCATGATTTTGCGTCTTTAACTCAGTGTTTTTTGTTTGTGAACTTTTGAATCTTGGTTAATCATTGTTGTAGTATTCCTAGAGTGAATTATGTTTCCTAGTTTAGTTTTCTTACATTTATGTGTTTTCTGATTATTGCACTTATCTCTGTGGTTTTGGTTTAGTTCCCTTAGTGTTTCCTGATTTATTTTCACAGCACCTTGTTTCATGTGCATCATATTTAGTTTTGCTTCCTCTGTTCCATTGGTCAGATTTGTTCCAGCTCCGTTTCCACCTGTTACCCATCCTCTCATTATCCTGTGTATTTAAGTCATCAGTCTTCCTCTGTTTCCTGTCACGTCATTGTCATTTGGCTTTGTATGCACGCTCCTTGTGCCTTAATGTTCCCTAGTATGTCCAAGTTACCATGTTTCTGAGTTTCAGATCATGCCAAGGTGTTAAGTTTGGGAGTCTCAACTGTCAATAACGATGCCGTTTAAGTTTAGCAGCTGAGCAGCAGATTACGTTTAATTATTTAACTCTTTTTTCCTGCCCTGGACCTGGAAATCACAGGGACACATCGCACATCAATGCCTGTCTGTTGTGGCACCTCAAGTATTTCTTGCACAATTTCCTTTAAGCCTTTAGTCTAATAAGTTTATATATTTATTTACAAAGCTTAATAGTGTTTGCAAAAAGACTAGCAAGAACAATGGCAGGTGGTTAGATCTATGGTTATTAGTAAAATAACTATTCAATGTTTCAATAAAGAAAAACTTGAATAAAATAGTGTGCCTGTTATATGAGTCATCATGAAAATTCAGAGCCAACACGGTGCGTCTCTGAACAAATTCATTTTTTATAACTCATGTGTTTTGATGAAAAAATACAAAACTTTATCCTTGCAAGAATTAATCAATAACACTCCACCCAAGAAAGCAATGGGCATTGTCAAGGGGGTTATCGCAATTTTTATATAGGGTCTATGGTATTTACACAGCATCAAATCCAAGTAAACGAAAAGCTATCACTACACACAGCATCATACCGGTTATATGTGTCTGAGGTGGGAGCAAGAAAGTAAAAACAGGAAGAAAACACTTTGCAATCTAAGAGTGGAGTGACAGGAAACATGCTGCATTGCTTTACACTGAGCGAAGAAAAAATTCTAAGCAGAGCACAGGGTTAATACCAAGCATGGACTTAAAAGGTAGCGTGTGTCAGAAGGTCAATTGTCTTCCCGATACAGCACTTGTGTTGGTTTCAGTGGTTCTGGACCACACCACAGTGAAATTACAATTCCACTGCAACTTGTTGTGCAGCACCAAACTCTCCTTTTTTTTGAAAGATTTTCAAAGCACCACATCCACATCTGTGATAGAATTTTTCAACACAAGACCAAAACAATATAATTTAATAATTTTAAAAAAGGAATCTCTTGGAGAAATGACTCACAAAGAGTAAAGTCACAAAGCAAACTGTTCATTTCATTGTCTTTATTCATATATAAACTGCTTACTTTAAATACAGACTGAGTGATCAAAAATTGAACAAATGTATTTTTGGTGACTTGTGAATTTCCATATGAAGAGTCAAAAAGCTTCTGTGTTGCCGTGGGAGGAACACTCGCCATCTCCAAAGGTCTCTGCTGGATGTGGATGGATGACAGGACAATAGAAAAAAAATCAAAGACAAGATGGTCAGAATAGCAAAGATGATGTGAAACAAAGAGTAACATGTAACACATACACTATCTGTGCCTGTAGTTATCAACCACCTCTGAAGTTGAAATGGGACTAAAAATACTATAAGCTCAGATATTTATGAGTCATGCTGCGCCCACTCCCCACAGGGAGCTCTCATTTGAAAGAAAATGATGTTACTGTTTTACAATTTTCAGAGCAATAAGATGAAATTAATGACAATGTCTAGTAGGTTTTCCTCTGTGGTGCCAGTATGAAATCACATCTAAAATAATGGAGGCCCTGTTCCCTGATAATGACCTTGGAAGTTAAGAGCATATTTTATTCTTGGGCACTTCTATGAAAACTCATAAAAACCTGCATGTTTCTCAAGGCAGCAATTACGTGCAAGTGCATAGAAATGCTAGAGGCATCTTAATGTTGGATCTGCAAAAAGAAATGTCATGTGTCATTTGACATGATCACAAGATGGCGGGCGTGATCACAGCAGGATTGGCGTCCTCGCGGTGGTGCGGTGATGTTTGGTGTTAAAACTCCAAACAATTTCAATTATAGACCTTGTTTGGGCAAATAAATAAACTAAGGTTGACATTTATAAGAGACGAAATGGCAAAGATGAAGAAAGTTGAAGAAGATCTGGAGGAGATTAAACATTCACTTAACTCGCTGACGTCGGAAATTGAAAAAGTAAATAAGCAACAAGGAATATTAATGTCGATGATGGACCAAATCAAAGAATTAAAAAACCTGATTAAGGAGAAAGACAAGACAATCCAGTTTTTGGAAAGGAAGGTGGACGATCTAGAACAGCAGGCTCGACTTGAGGAAGTGATTATTACGGGTCTGGAAACTAAACACAGGAGTTATGCGAGAGTCACCGAGTCTGGGAGAAGACGTGCCCCCGATGGAGGAGCTACAGTCGTTGGAACGGCAGGTTGTGGAATTCTTTTCGAATAAAAAACTTCCCCTGCATAGTAATAATATATCTGCATGCTATGCCCTTCCTAGAAGGCACACTAATGTTCCTCCAGCAATTGTAGTGAGATTTGTAAACCGTAAACACAAAGTTGATTTGCTGAGGCGGTCCAGCCTTTTGAGAGGAAGCAGAGTATATTTGAATGAACATCTTACAAAAAGAAATGCAGATATTGCTAGACAAGCTCACATTTTACGGAAGGAGAAAAAGATTCAAGCAACCTGGACCAGGAACTGTAAGGTGATGATCAAACTAAATGGAACGCCAGAAGAAGCCAAGGTTATAACGATTAAGGATCTTGAGGAATTGGACATTTATACGAGATAACATTATCAAGATAGGCAAACGGCTACGACCAATCATGGCTATGAGCCTAAAAACAATTAGTTCATCCTTTACAAGAACAGATGCTACCTCGGGTGGAAAAGGACAAAAGGAAATTGTAAATTGTACATAGAGATCAACGGACTTTAAAATTTGTCGATAAATGAATGTGCAATTGCTAAGGATCCCTTTCTTTTTTTCTTTTTTTTTTTGAGGGTAATAGATAGTTTTAGAATAATTATGCATAATGCTTGACGACTCAGATCATAAATCATATGATTTTTAAGTAGGTATTGACCCTGAAAGGAATGTGCTTAATACAATTAATGTCACATGTGAATATTATACAGAGGAGCAATTCAGGGATAAGGTTGAAATAGCCAATACATTTTCTTTAACTCATATTAACTGCAGAAGTCTTTATAGAAGTTTTGCTTCGATTAAAGATTTCCTGTATAGTTTGAGAGGCAGGTTTCAAATAATTGCTCTGTCTGAAACATGGTTAGATGAGAAGAGGGGTTGTCATTTCTGTATCGAAGGGTACGATTTATACTTTGTAAATAGAATTAAGAAAAAGGCAGGAGGAGTGGCACTTTTTCTTAATTGTGATTTGAAATGTAAAAAAGTTGAATGTATGTCTGTGGCTATAGACGATTTAATGGAATCTGTGACAGTGGAATTGGATATAGAAAGAAGAAGTAATATAACTGTAACGTGTATATATAGGAAACCGGGGTCACAGATGGAGTTATTTACAGAGGCAGTAGAAGACTTATTGAGTAAAGCTAAGGGAAATAAGACTATGTTTGTGTGGTGATTAGAATATTGATCTTTGTAAAGAGGCAAAGGCTGCGTCAGATTTTTTTGAATTATTACTTGGTAAAGGATTTTATCCTTTAATTATAAAGCCGAGTAGAATAACAGATAAATCAGAAACACTAATTGATCATATTTTCATTAATAGCTTGGAGAGTAATATTATGAGTGGCCTCATCATAAATGATATAAGTGATCATCTACCAGTCTTTTTTACTTTAGATTTAAATATGAAAAGAAAGGAAGAAGTTAGTTTCGTGAGTCATAGAAGGTTAAGAAATAACGAGGCAATCAACAAATTTAGACAAGATCTCATGGATGTGGACTGGAAGGAAGTTTATGTTAATGAGGTCAACGTTGCATATGGAGCTTTTTTAAATACTTACTTGGCCTTGTATGATAAACATTGTCCATTGGTATCATTTAAGTATAAGAATAAGAATATGAAACCTTGGATAACTAAGGGTCTTGCAAATGCATGTAAAAAGAAAAATAATTTATATAGGGATTATATAACACAGAGAACTAAGAATGCGGAAATTAAATATAAAGTTTATAAAAAATAAGTTGGTATTAATATTGAGGAAAGCTAAGAAAGACTACTATAATAAACTTTTTCAGGAAAACAAGAATAATATTAAGGGCATTTGGAATATTTTTAAAGAAGTATTGGGTAACAAGAACACACCCTTAGATCGGCCTAATTATTTCATTAAGAATAATCAAGTTGTCGAAGACAAGACTGAAATAGTAAACTAATTCAATTATTTTTCTGTAAATGTTGGACCCACTTTAGCAAATGTAATTAGAAAAAATGACGATCCAGAATATGAGGAAGCCTGGAAAGGAGAAAGTAGAGTGTTTAATTCTATATTCTTGGCTGATACTTCCATAAAAGAAATAGTAGCAATTGTAGAAAATTGTAAAACTAAAAAAAAATCTACTGACTGTGATGGTATAGACATGGTTGTAATTAAAAAGACTTTAGATTGTATAAGTATTCCTCTTTGCTATATTTTTAATCTTTCGTTACAATCAGGAGTATTTCCTGATCGAATGAAAGCAAAAGTGATACCCTTATATAAATCAGGAGATAAGCATAGTTTTAACAATTATAGGCCAGTGTCTCTTTTGTCACAGTTTTCAAAAGTGCTTGAAAAACTTTTTGCGCAAAGACTTGATAGTTTTATTGAAAAATATCAACTAATAAATGAAAATCAATTTGGATTTCGTAAAAATAGATCAACGGCATTAGCATTGTTAACTTTCATTGACGATATTTCATCTGCAACCAATAATAATAAATATACAGTTGGGGTATTTGTTGATTTAAAAAAAGCTTTTGATACGTTACAACATTCTATTTTGATTTCTAAAGTGTATAATTATGGTGTGAGAGGAGTGGCATTGAATTGGTTAAGGAGTTATTTAGAGAATAGGTCGCAATATGTACATTATCTCGGTAACACCTCTGAAAGATTGAGGATTGTTTGTGGCGTTCCTCAAGGTTCTATTTTGGGACCTAAACTTTTTAATTTGTATATTAATGATATCTGTGACGTATCAAAAAGGTTAAATT